TTAAACACACTTGGGCTCACACACACACACACACACAAAAAAACACTCTCCTCCCATTCTTGGGCATGCAATTTGACCTCAGGCTCTCTCAAACTGAATATTCCTTCAGTGATTAAACCTTTTCTCTCTGTGGAGTATGGTGGTAACTAATTAATATGGATTGTCTTGATGTTCTCTGGTTATCCTTAGCTTTTAATTAGAGTATAAATTCCCCTTCCCATAGTGTTACTCATATGATTCCTGGTAACTACTGACCACTCATCCTAGCATTCTCAACATTTGTATCTTAAGGTGAGTTGATCTGAAATTCATTGGCATGAAAAAAAAAAGCCCTAAGACATTCATTCATTCATTTGTTCATTCAAATACTATAATGTTCCCTACAAGTACAGACTGAATGCAAAGGTAAGCAATTTAGACACAGTGCTCACCCACAAAAAGGAACAATTAAGAGCAGAAAGACAACTACTTTACAGTAAGTGGTCACTCTTATGAGAGTGTTTAAAGTTTAAGGGTAGGGTCAAGTCAGGGCAAACACCCAGTCTTTCTGTAAGTTATATCCTAAAGCATGGATAGGAACTTATTCGAAGCAATATAAGCCCAAAGAGAAGAAATATTGTGTATAAAAGTATAGTTATACTCACAGCTAAACCAAAATATATAGCATTTAGGACAAAATAATACTGTGGCCAACCCAAGCTGATAATCTTTCAACCTTTGTTAATTATCTCTTTCTGCAGCAGAGAAATTTACTTTAAATTTACTCACATAAATTAAATTCACTTACATCTTAAAGTCAACACACTTTAAGATACAAATGTTGAGAATGGTAGGATGGGTGGGCAGTAGTTACTAGGAATAACACTCGGGGGAAGGAAAGTTTATACACTAATAAAAAGCTAAAAAGTTAATAAAATATAAATCTAGAAAACAGTTCACTTAATTTTTACTAAGCTAAGGTCATTCTTGTGATAGAGTCTAAAAAATATTTTTAGTTATTCATCTTTCTTGCCATTTTTTAGTGGCACTCTTAGACCTGTAACTCCTTCAGAGTCCATATAAAATAAGAAATGGAAATCTTCTATACATGTAAAAACAGATGTTTCCAAAATGTCATAGTAATACTGCAGTATCCCTTTCAGAATGGGGTCCCTGTAGAATAAGAAGAATACGGGTTAAAGTGCAGCACTGTGAAGCTAGTTGTAGCCACTTCAACACAAGTTCGATCCCTGGCCAGGGAGGTGACCCAAATGGCATGTCTGACCTCTCCTGTCTCACCTGCTGCTCCCTCAGCAGTGTACTTTGTGATCTGCCTGTTCTGCTCCTCATTCTGTCTCTGGTGAATAGTCTCATTGCTCCTGCTCTTCTGGCCTATGCCCCAGTTCTGTATGCATAAATAAATAAAACTTAAAAAAAAAATACAGGAAGGCACATACTTGAATGTATAATTAGGAGCCTAATTGACTAAAATTGTAGATAAGAGGAAAAAGGAAAAGAGGATTAACGAAGAATATGTCTTAAATTTTAGGCTGGAGCAATCGGTAGTAAGCTATACACACTGAAATAAAGTATAAAGGGACAAACAGGTTTGAGGTTAATAACCATAAGTTCAGTTTTATACATACTGAATATTACAGTCTATTTTGAGTATTAACAAAATGAGGATATTTATAAAAATGTCTCAGACCAAGAGAGCAATTTGGGGTAAAGATAGATATGGACAGTCTTAATGCATAAATGGATTCCATGGGATGGCTGTGACTGTCTAGGGAACATATGTAAAGTAGAAATACATAACAGGACCTACAGAGGAGCTCTAAGCCTTACATTCAATGCTCAAAAGGAGGCTAGGAGAAAACACCAAGAGATAATGAAAAAAACAAGAGCTATATAGTAACATGGTTTCAAAGATTTAAGTAGTCCAAAATATCTAGTACTAGGGATAAAGAGCAAAAAAAAAAAAAAGAAAGAAAGAAAGAAACCAGGAATCAACAACTAAGTTTTTAAGAAGTCATTGTGATACTTGTTGAGAATATTTTTAGTAAATAATAATCCCAGTAACAGTACTTAGTAATCATGTACATTTAAGGAAACTGCTTTACCAAATCTTATGTTCTTTATCTGTAAGACAGGAAAAACAAAAAGCCCATTGTTTCTATCCACTGGTTTTGTTGCAAGGATTAAATTAAATGCCATAATGTACAAAAAGTACTATAAACATTAAAAAGAAAATACAAACAGGTGTTACTACCACACTGGTGATGTTCAAATTGTTCACAGTTGTTAGTTTTGTGTTATACAAACTTGGTTGTGCATACATGGCATAGAAGGCACATTTGACTTTGATTGTTTAATATAATGTATCAGCAGAAGCTACAGACACAATGCATAGTTTAATACCAGCTCTGTTCCTTGTCTCCAACATTGCAGAAGCACATTTCAAAATGAAGTCTTTATCAGCAAGCTATATGCTGGCCATGAAGATAGACCTCTTGCTAACTCACACGGGCATAGTGTATGTAGACAGTTAAATGTTATTGCTTCAAAACACTAAGATGTTGGAATCACATTCACCAAAACCAATTGCAGTATAAATAACAGGTGAAAAAAAAAAAAAAAAAAGGAGAGCCAGAAGGAAAATCCTATTTTAGGAGTTCAGAAATAAGAAATCATGGAGGCCATCATACAGACTCGTCCAATTTTTCCTTTATGGCACAGAGTGAATTACTAATGTTCACATTGATTCTACAATCTCAGGATAATAGAAAAAGTAAACAAGAATATTAAATGTACCTAACAGAATTTCTAATGAAGAGACGCTGATTTGCAAAAGATGAGTTTATCAATGAGAAGAAATTACCTCCACCTTCACTATACTTATAAACAGTTTTTTTTAAGTTTCTTCACTCCTTAGTAAGCATATTTTTGCACCTAAATGATTGACTGTGTAACTGTGTTAGGTCAAAGACACTCCTCAGCTAGGTTACTAGAAATAAACTGAAAATAGGAAAAATAAAGCAATACCAGATTTTATGAAGGAAGAATTTATTATTCATCAAAAGTTAACAGTATAAGGTATTGCTGCCAAATACCAAATTACTATTTGATATGCCTAAATGGAACATGTGTGCTGGAAAATGGCAATTACTCAGAACCAAGGCCAAAAGTAGAATCCAGGTCACAGGGAGGCATAAAGACCCACTGGACCAGCCTTTTCACCAAGAACACTGGATTACCCCTCTTCTTTATTCTGGCATTTGTCCCCCTCATTAGTTTTGACAAACCATGAAAGAGGATCAAAACTGCTTCAATCCCAATGGAGTTGAAGTGAATTACATGAAAGAAACACTTAACCAAGGAGGGATGTTTTTTGGCTTGTGATCATTTTTCAAAAAAAGATAGGAGGGAAAACATTTCCACAACTCTTTTAGAAATGCCTTAAGTGTCATTTTACAAAGCATACAAATATATTAAGAGTCATCATTAAAAAGCATGTCAAAAAAGTGACACGCTTTTGCACTAATAGTTTTTTGACTATTTCTAAAACCCGATCTTGAACTATGAAGATTACACACTGTGTCTTTGAAAGCATGTATTATAAATAATACAAGCAAGTTCACAAGGTTGCTCCCCAGGTGGTTTATACAAGGGTCCAATCATCTGGTGAACAGCACAATAATAAGTTTGAAGTGGGCTATTTATCAGGATCTACAAGCTCTGGAATGAGATGCTGTATCAACTGTGAGGTCCTCTGTTAATTCAAGGGGCGGAGGGAGGGCGGGGGCTGGTTTCTCTAGTAAGTGCGGCTGAATTGCATACAAGTAGTAATAACAATGCCCCTCTCATAAGTCTAAGAATTGTTTATTCAAATTCCATGTCAGTTGTGTTTCCTTATCCCCAAAGATTTTTCTCTTTGGTAACTTACTCAAAGTTTCTATATTTGAGAGTGTGTGAATATGTCCATTCTGTTGGCATGGCTGTTTTCATTTTTCAAGTGGCTAGGTTAAAAAGCCAGAATCCACAATGTGCTAGCCACCTAAATTTTTATAACTATACTTCTGTTGCACAGACTAGTAGAATTCTCATCGCAGCAACTTCACAGTGGTAAACTAACTTACAGCTTGATAAGCCAAAAATCTAAAACGAAAGCATCCTGAATCAACCAGCCGTTAAAAGTATGACTTCCCTCCCCATCATCCTCTTTCTTAAGGCAACAGCAATGTTGTACGAGGAGAAATGCGGCTGTCAGTTTACTCAGCAGATGTTAGCTCAAGGAGAAAGGAAAGAGGGGTACTGTTCAAATGGGTTTAATCTTCCTGACGCATAATATTAACAAGGCAAGAACTAAAGTTGCCTAGATAAAATCACAACATTTGCTATGAAATATTTGCTATGAAGGATCATTTTTACTATGAAAGAACGTATCAAATTCGCACGGACACACACTGGGTTGAGTATACAGGCTAATTCACACGACCAGGCTAGCGTATGGATAATGTCAGGAAAACTGCAATGCCTCGGTCCACGTCGCCTGGGCAATTGAGGAAGCCAGTGCCTGGAGCCACAGCACGTAACCAAAGGCTCAAATCCGCTGACTCCAAGGGCGGGGAGGAGGAGGGTGATGAGGAAAGTTTGTTCACCACATCCATCTTGACTCTGAACAGGCGGGAGGGGACAGGGGTCGGGGCGGGGAGGCACGCGACAAGTCAAGCCCAAATTCCAGAAGACCACTGGACTCGATCACCAAATTAAACCTATTGTCCGTCTTCCCTCCTAACTAGCAAGTATCTCAGTCGGGAGCAGCGAGGGGCGGGGCCGGAGCCCGCGAAGGCGGGGCCGACGCGGGGCGGGGCCGGCCCGGGGCGGGGCCGACGCAGGGCGGGGCCAAAATTACCAGAACTCAGGGGCGGCCCGAGCACGGAGCCCGCGCCAAAGGCGGCTTTCTGTACCTGGAGGTGTCTGGGGGTAGAACAGGGCGAGTGCGGAGGGTCAGAAGTTACCTGCGCTGGAAGTCCAGGGCGAAGGGTTTAAGGTACGGGTCTATCTCCAGAAGTCTGGCTAGTTCCGGCACGTCCTGCAGAGCGGCAGCCAGCGCCCCCTCAGAGCAGTCCGGCCGTGCCTCCGGAGCCGCCATCTTCCGCCTCAGCCCGAGTAGCCGAGGCCCGAGAGGGTCGAGTGGAGCCCGAGCAGGGACGGAGGAAGGCGGCAAAGGGCGGAGCCGGAGAACGCGGAGACCAGCCGCCGCGGTCCGGAGCCCTTTATAGCCCCACGGAAGGGCCGCCTGTTCCCCCCCTTCTCCCCCGCCTGCGGGGAGGAGCGGGCCCCCGGTGATCCCCAGACGCGCTTTCCGAAAGGGGCGGAGGCACCGAGGCCTCTCCGCCCACGCACGCGCCGGGCACCTGGAGGCTGCCTGGACCTTCCCTTCCTCGGCCCAGCGGGACTGGGCTGCTTGGGGAGGCGGGGCCCCGCCGACGTGGCTCGGCCGCACCCCCTCACCCTGACCACACTGGGCCCCGGAGACCACCCCTCCGCGGTTCACCTTCTAAACGCCACCCACTTGGCGCACAGCCATCCCCTTGGTGCAAAGTTTTTGAGACTTTCTTGCACGGGCAATGTTTAAAAAAATGAGTAAGTTCACAGTGAGGCGAACAATGAAGCTGAGGTACAAAATTACAGTTGAACATGTTACTATCATTTCGTAACCCGACCTCTTCTACGTTTGTCTTCAAACATAAAACAGGCAGGACCCTGCAAGCACGCTATATGCATCCTGGTGTTCTGGTGGTGGTTCTGGCTTAAGAATGGGGACTCTGTGTGGTCTCCCCCATTTGATACTAACATTTGGTCTGGTTACTAACCAGATGCATCTGGTTACTGACAATTCAGAATTGAAACCATACCAAAAACTTCCCATTGCATCAAGAAAAAATATGAAGTCCTTTGTTTTATAATGGTTATAACAAACCTTTCAACAGTGAAACTGCCCTTCAAGACAAGACACAAGTGGTTAGGGGAGGGCATTCTATTATAATTCAGCTGTTCACCTTATACTAACTGATAATGCAATAAGCCTCTAGCTGAAGATTGGGGTCTCCCCCATCTGCTACTAAATTCTTTCATACCCATTAACTGACTTCTAGTACAAGGATTATTTTTTAAGAATACAGAATTGTGCACTGAGAATTGGAGTCACCAAACTAGAAGTTTCAAACTGCTTTGAGTGCCAAAAGTGGAGAGAAAGTCTCAAAAGTTGAGCATAATTGTCCCACTTAAGACTTGGGAATGGAAATTCTTGGGGACTGTAGAGAACGAAGTGTGTCCATGAGCCAGTGCCTTAAGTTTTAAAACATTCAAAACATTGTGAGAGGATTAGTAAAGTTGATAAAGGATAGCTAGTAACAGAACTTCATAGTGACAAGGAGTACTTTGCACATCATAAAGAAAGGCATTTTCCAAAAACATGACAGCGTGCAAACATTTGTAAAACATAAAACACTTAAAAAAGGGTGAGGGGAGGAGGGAAACTCCAAAGCAGGATGCCCAAAAGGTGTACAGAGCTGAATCTCCAATCTAAGTTTCTATCAGAAGTTCAAGTTCCATACTATTTATAAGATCTCATTTAGCTGACTGAAAACTAAACTAGTAATCTCTGAAACATCCTAAATCAGCCTTTTTACCCTTTCTTTGTTAAAAAAAAAAAAAAAAGATTATTTATGTGTATAAGAGCTGTGGTGTAGGCCAGAGGTGAGGGGAGGCTTGGTTGTGAGTGGACCAGAGTGGGAAGCAGAACTGGCAGATCTACTGAAACACACTGTTGAGGAATAGCAAGCTAGATACAAGAGGCCTGCTAGATGTGGGTCAACTTGCTGGGAGGTGAATAGTGCTTGAGTGGCTGCTGGAAGCTTCATACTTGTGAGATTTAACCTCTTTCACCACCAGGTAGGCCCACCCATTCAGCTATTACTCTTTATAGGCCACGTTCATCTTGCTCCTGAACTGCAGCATACCTGTCTAACAGATTACCCATCTTCTAGTCTTTCTCCTCCCTAATCTGCCAGTGTTTATCAGACTGTAATATGTGTATGAACAAATTTTAGAGCAAATATTTTTTGAAGTCCCATTTGCTAGCAAGTTTCCTAGGTACTGAGGATAACTGGGAAACAAGTCCACTGTCATAAAGTTCACAAGAAAGATATGGGATAAGGTAGAAAATTACCAACTAACCATATAAGAAATGCAAAACATTCCAACAAATGCCCAATAGTAATAAATGTACCATGGAGAATTGAAATTAAGCCAATATGTCTTAGTTCTGGCAGTCAAGGAGGGCCATTTGGAACTAACATTTAAGCTGAAGTATGATGAAATAAGGAACAAGCCTAGAGAAGAACATTCCAAGTAAAGAATTTGTGCAATAAGGGAATTAGTTGATTTAGCTCCAGAATAAAGAAAACCTAGTGTACCTACTGGAAAGAAACAATCAGAAAATGTTAGCTAAGCAACTCCTTTGATCATACAGGATCTTTAATTAAAATGTGCTATTGGAGGTTATTTATTGTTTTTTTGTAAAAACTGGTATTTTCATTTTAAAAATACTCTGTTGCAACAGGATTATAGATACAATAATTTAAACATCTAATTAAAAAGCCATTATAATTAATGCTTTGAGTACCTACAGATATGAAGTCACTATATTCAAGCATTTTAATGGGATAGCAAAGTATAAAGATCTTTGCTGTGACCCTTTACAGTATTCACAATATTGTTCATAAATGGAATTTAAACGACACCCCAAATACTATAGAGTTGTATTAAAATTTATTTAAAGTTTAATCAAAAAAAAATTTTTTAAGACTTTGTTTATTCATACAGAACTGGGGCATAGGCCAGAGGTGTGGTGGGTGAAACGATTCACCAGAGACAGAGTGAGGAACAGAACAGGCAGATTTATTGAAATACACTGCTGAGGGCAGCAGCAGGCAGGTCAAGAGAGATCATCCATGCCATGTGGGTCAGCTCCCTGGCAGGGAATTGAACTTGTGCTGCATTGGCTTTGGAGAGCTTCATAATGTGGTGCTTTAACCTGTTGCACCAGGGAGAACCCAAGTTTAATCAAATTTTAAAATCCTGTTATTTCTTAGCCTTGTCTTTCAGTACCATAGGTATTCTCTGAAGTAAGGGAATATAAATCTATATTTGTTTATTTAATTCTAACATTAAATGTTCTAAAAGTAAATGAGGCAGTGGTTGTACAATTCTATAAATTTACCAAAAAATATTAAATTATACACTAAAAAATTGGTGAATTTTATGCCATGTAAATTATACTTGAGATGCCTCCTAAAAGTTATAACTGAACAGCTCCATTGAAAATGTGGATCTAGTGTCATTTTTAAGACAAAATTAGAAAAGCAAAATTTAAAATAGTATGTGTCTGTCAACTACTTGAATGAACTCCAGATCCCTAGTAAACAACTATTTCAGCAGTATTTCAAAGAACTGGGAACTTGGGGATGAAGGGGTGAGGTTATCCAATAAAATTTAAGCAAAAAGCCCATGGATTCAAGCCTCATACACTAATTACAAGAAGACACTGCTAGCTCCCATCACCTATTATGTTAGCTTAAATGGTAGTCCCCCAAAAGATATATCCATACCCAAATATCCAGAACCTTTGAATACTACCTTTAGGAGAGAAAAGGATCTTAGAGATGTGAGAAATAGGGAGATTATCAGGATTATTTGGATGTGTTCTGGATCAAATGGCAGTATTCTTAGAGGAGACGGGGAAGAGGGGGAGACAGTATAAACTGACTGTGAAAATAGAGATTGAATAGCTTTCTATCCACAGTCAAAAAATACCAAACTACAAGAGGCAATAGACGTATTCCCCTCTAGCTTCTATAGTAAATGAAACGTCAGTCTGCCAGTACCTTGATTTCAAACTTCCTTCATCCAAATTGTGAGAAATTAAGACACCAGTTTTTGGTAATATATTTTAGCAACCTTAAAATACTAATACATATAATCTGTCTTGTAAACATGAGTACTCCACCCCTAAAAGTCTGAACAAGGAAATATGTAGAAAAAGAAAACAAAAGATGAAATGAGAGCAGCAGACTCTCATACATAAAATCATCCTAAATGTGGCCCTCCCTGGTGGCACAGCGGGTTAAGGCACAACTCTGAGAATCTAAAGCCTCTTCTGCATGAGTTCGATCCCCGCCT